ACCAGCCTGGGATTAAAATCCCCAAATTATACCATGAATAAGGAGTCCACATTGCATTGTAGATAATAGTTTAAAATGGAATTAATTTCACTTTTGGTCCCACGACTTTTGATGTTCTATCACTTTTGGTGCACAACTTTAAAATTTTTTAATTTTGGTGCCTAACTTTGTTATTTTTATCAATTTTGGTCCTTTCGGCCAAATTGACTGTGAAATGTTGTTGGATTTTATATTGTTAGGGGTAAAATCTTCATCCCAAGGAAACATCTTCAATATCTAAACAAGATCACCGTAAAATCATATCTATAGGTGTTTGATGATGAGAATAATGGGGAAGATGGGCAGAAACCAGACAGATATATGGGATTTATAGTTTCGACCATTGGCAAACTCTTCTTTTCCTCTTAATATGATTTTTCTTTTGTTTAAATATTGAAGATCTTTCCATGGGATGACGATTTTGCCCCTAAAATATAAAATTTGGAAATATTTTACCGTCAATTTGGCTAGAAGGACCTAAACTGATAAAAATAACAAAGTTAGGCACCAAAATTGAAAAAATTCAAAGTTGTGCACCAAAAGTGATAAGAACTCAAAAGTCGTGGGACCAAAAGTGAAATTAATTCGTTTAAAATGATATTAATTAAAATTATATGTCTACATTTAACATATTATGTACATACAATTAACATATTATATGTCTGTATTTAATATATTATATGCATTCAAATTAGTTACAAGTACATAATTTATTAATTGAATGCACATAAAATATTAATGGTGGCACTTACTTCGTAATTGTTAGATCATAATAATACATGTTAGACATTGATTCATGGTATGATAATTGATCAAAATCATCACCTCACGGTCCTCACGCAAAAAGAAAATAGTCATGTCCAAAATATATATGTGAAATGGCTATGTTGTCAAAATACATGAAATAACCCGTAGAAAAAAATGTTGGGAAATTCACTTTTTATTTTATCTTTCAATTATTTTTCAGTATTGTAAATTTAGTCTGTTTATTTCGATTTTTACAATTTTGGTCCTTTAATTATTAAATAAGTTATAAATTCAATTATTTAACTATTTGTCGTAATGTCAAACTCTTTATATTTAGGGTTTTATATATGATGACATATTTGTAATTTCTAATATATACTTTATTTTCTCATAATATCATTCAAACAAAAATAATGTGATGTCTCAACTCTCAAATAGTCGAGATGTTGAATTTACAACTTATTTAACAATTAAAGTTTTAAGTTTATAAAAATTATAGGAGAGACAATAACGAAACAAAAAATTACAATTTTAACACATAATATATATTAAATGAATGATGTATGGCAATATGGCATGTCTCTTTTTCTTTAATTCTATATATCTATTATATTTAATTACTTTGTTCTTATAATAATAACAATAACAACAACAACAACAACAACAACAACAACAACAACAATAATAATAATAATAATATTATTATTATTATTATTATTATTATTATTATTATTATTATTATTATTATTATTATTATTGCTTAAAATTTATGAAGCTAGGGAAGCCAAAATTTGGGCAACCCATAACACACACGTACACCTTTTGGAAAGAATGAAATAACATCATTTTAATTTTGTCTTAATCATCATTAAGTACAAAAAAATGGAAAAAATGAATTGGGAATGTGTAATTTCTCAATACAATGAAGTGGATCCAAGATTCCAAGGAACCAAACATGTGTCGGTGTTGGGAGAATAGGATGAAGGAGAATCATGATGAGATCGATTGATGCATCATATCATATCCCATCATGCATCACATAATTAAAAAGATGAAGATGATGTACTTCAAAATATCACATGGGCATGCTTTTGCAGACTTTACCCTCTGCAGAATATATATATATATATATATATATATATATATATATATATATATATATATATGTTTAATTTTAAATGTAAACCAATGCTATAATATGAACTTGTGTGTACTATTTATGCACCGTTGATTTTGTTCGATCTTGTGACTTATAATGATTTTGATCTAATAAATATACATGTACCAATGCACCACATGCATCACTGCACAATTGTACAACTGCAATACTCCCTCAATCTTGATCGTCTATTCTCACATTTCAAGGGTGCGTGGCGGTTCACAGGTTCACATGATAGCAATGGTTCACACCTGAAACAAACCATTGTCATTGTTGATTTCGCTCGATCTTGTGATTTATAATGATTTTGACCTAGTAAATATATAACACTACACTACTGCACAACTGCACTGGATTCACCATTGTACTATCCCCTGCGTCACTCACCATTAAGTACATATAAATGCATCACAAATTAAAGTGTTTGAAAATGAATAATTAGGTGTGGTGTATTTTTGGTGTGTGGTGCATTTATATATACCTATTGGTACAATTCGCACTGACCACATGAGAAACTTTGTCCGCATTTAATTTATATATATATATATATATATATATATATATATATATATATATATATATATATATATATATGATTGCATGAGTTCAAAACTTTGCTAGCATTCAGTAGTACATTATATTATTGCGATCAAGAAAGATATGAGAATCATCGATCAACTGAGATATGATGTTACGAGTCAATATATCTGCTGTCTAATAAAGTAATAATTTCAATGGTAGACCTCAAGGGTACCCCATGCATGCATGCATAATGCCTGGGTACTGGGTTCAATGCTTTCATCATCATTAATAAACAAAATTTTCACAGTATTATTTAAAAAAAAATATTATTATTTTTCAGTTTTGTATAAAGTAAGCTCATGACAAATAAATTCATAACATAGTTAAATCTACATTAGTAAAAACCTGATATGATATTAGATATGCTTGAAAGAATGATTAGATTGAGTGGTACAATTGTGATAATCAATGGCTCCAACTACTCTCTAAATGATTGTTATATGAATTGTACTTGGAGAACGGTCAATCATAACTCTATAAAAAATTCAACTAAAAGGATAATTAAGGATTTAGCACTTTGCCTAGATGGAATGGCATAATGATTGTAGCAGTTCAATCTCACGTACCCTCACGATTTTAATTACTTTAATCTTACCACAATTATAAATGAAACAAGTGTAAAATGAGCCTATATCAAATAAATACACATGCATTGTTATAGCAACTTAATTTTAAATTAAATGAATAGGAAACCGATTCAATGTAGTACGTTATATATATATGTGTTTGTGTGTGTGTTTTAATAGAACTAGATAATATAACTTTATATGGAGAAGTTATTAGTATTAGTATTTAAGGTAGCTTAGTTGGTAATACATATTTTATAATTCTAAAAGATCAAGGGTTAAAACTTGTTGACTAATTGTAATTTTTTTCAATTTTTATATTAATTATGTGATTTATAATAATGTGTTATGCGTGATAATAATTATTTAAATTGATGAATTACTTGATACAAAATATGTTTTGTAATTCAATTATTAAAAATATTATCTTAGAAGAAAATCTATTTGTTGTGAACTATCTAGTCAATGTAGTCTCGAAGTTTTAATTGTGCTACTTTATCGTATTCAAATTCATCTACAAATACATAGAGTTGATCTAATTAAAATAAAATATTTATAAATATAATATTAATATAGAAGATCTACAATTTATTTGAACGTACTATTTGATATTTTATCTCAAATATTTGTTATTGTGTTTTTTTTTTTTTTTAAATTAAGTTTTCACCTCCACTTAAGTGACTTAAACGATATTTCTGAATCTGCCGTCTAATCTCACTATCACAATAATTATAATCATTTAAAGCTCAAACCAGTTTGGTTAGCGTGAATGACCGTGCACTCTTGTCTCTTAAAAGAAGTTGGGAGCTCAAACCCTTCTTGTACGAAAAAATTAATATGACTAGCACTTTGTTCCTTAATTGCTGCGAACGGGGATTACTATGGTCGGAAAAAACAATCTCCTTAATTGGTATCGAGGGGACTGTGATACTAAAAAGATCAGAACCCATACAAACAAAAGGAGGGAATAAAAAGCAGTGGAAGACTGGAAGTGATAAGATGAGAAAAGGGAGTTGGTTGGTTAGTTGTACTTTTGATGGATAGATGGGATACAATGCATCTTGCTAAGTGACACAAGCTAAGCTAGCAAGCGATACCCACCCACCAAACTGGCATGGAAGCATTATGTCCTGCTTTTCCTTAAGTTTCATAACCCACTATAATGGACTTCCCTGTCGCCCTGTCTTTTTTTTTTTTTTTTTTCTTTTTTAACAAAAACATCTCCCAAAGTTCTATCACCTTATCCAAAAAAATTATCAAATCGGTTCTACACTGCAGCCATACTAATCAAAATCTCTCTCTCTCACATACATATAGTTGATGGAGTAAATATATAAGTGAGATAAATACAACATTATTGTGTGAGAAGTATATATATAAATTGCTTAGAAATGTGATTATAAGCGGGATAAGTGTTTAACAACTTTTTGCTATATATTTTTAATATTACAACAAGTGTTTTTATAGTACAAGTATAGTGGATATAGGTAGTGGTTGAACGGACACAACATTTATTTGATCAATGCTTTTAATTTATCAAGTGACACATGAAATTGGAATTTGGCGTTAGACATGAGTTTCGAGTTTAGGTCATGGATTGATCCGAAACATAGTTGATGGACTAATAAAGTGCTAGTAACATAATGCATGCAATCGTTATGCTGTCCAACGGTGTGCACCATGAACATTTATTTGATCAATGCTTTTAATTTATCAAGTGACACATGAAATTGGAATTTGGCGTTAGACATGAGTTTCGAGTTTAGGTCATGGATTGATCCGAAACATAGTTGATGGACTAATAAAGTGCTAGTAACATAATGCATGCAATCGTTATGCTGTCCAACGGTGTGCACCATGCATGGTGCACACGGTTGCGAACGACGCTGTTTTACTATGGTGGAGTAATGGTGCTGTTAGTGGCACCGTTTAACTTCACCAATCAATTTTTTTTTAAACTCCATCAATCTGAATATATAGTTCATTCCTTCTGAATACACAGACGTAACGAACTGTCATAAGCCAAAACAGAGTACCAGTTATTAGGAGTCTATATTATTAGTTGCTCTCGTTGAACGGTCGTTTAATCGCAAAATTGTTTCTGTTCAGTTTGATTTAGGGGGATAGTATAATCGTCTTCATAAGACGTTTCTGTCTCTTGGGATTAATCATAGGCGTTCGTGTGCTTATACCCACGAGCATAATGGTCAGGTAGAACATAGGTACCGTCATATTGTGGAAACTGGTCTTGCGTTGCTGGCTCAAGCGTCTGTTCCCTCTCGTTATTGGGACTACGCGTTTGAGACAACGGTTTACCTTATTAACAAGATGCCCACGCGTGTGTTGAATGATGACAGTCCTCATTTTCGGCTTCATCGTTCTAATCCCTCTTATTCGTTTTTGCGTGTTTTTGGGTGTCTCTGTTATCTGCTTTTCTGAATGGTAATCTTGCAGAGACAGTCTATATGAAGCAACCTCCGTGGTATGAAGACAAGTCGACTCCGGATCATGTGTGTTTGCTACAACGGTCGTTGTATGGCCTTAAACAAGCTCATCGTGCCTGGTTCACTCGTCTACATTCCTTTTTGGTTTCGGTTGGTTTTACTCCGTCTAAGACTGACGTTTCACTGTTTATCTATACTCGTGATTCTGTGCAGCTTTATTTGATTGTCTATGTAGACGATATTCTGGTAATAGGCTCAGACTTCTCTCGGGTGGTTGGTCTTCTGGTACAGTTGGCTTCTGAGTTCAAGATTCGTGACATTGGTACTCCTTCACTCTTTTTGGGAATTGAGACTGTTCCCTGGCGTGATGGTTTATTGTTGTCTCAGCAGCGGTATATGCAGGATATATTGAAGCGTGCTGGAATGGTCGATTGTAAGCCCCTTGTCACGCCGGTCTCTCTGGTCGCGTCATTGGTTACTTCCACCACTCCCTATGCTGATCCCACGCAGTATAGGAGTCTTACCGGTACCTTGCAGTACTTGACAGTCACGCGTCCGGATCTCTCATTTGCTGTGAATCGGCTTTGTCAGCATATGCATTCCCCTACCACTGAGCACTGGAGTCTGCTCAAGCGGGTCTTACGATATGTAAAGGGCACTTTACATTTTGGCTTGCATATCCGTCGGTCTGTTTCCACTGAGTTGCATGCCTTTTCTGATTCGGATTGGGCTGGTGATCCGGTTGATCGAAAATCTACGAGTAGTTTTGCCATTTTTCTGGGTGGTAATCTTGTGTCGTGGACTTGCCGTAAGCAGAAAACTATGGTGCGATCATCCACTGAGGCTGAGTATAAGGCGCTTGCAGATGTGTCTGTAGAGGTAACTTGGTTGGTTTCATTGATGCGCGAGCTTGGAGTTTGTTTGACTGTGCCTCCGTCTCTGTGGTGTGACAATTTAGGAGCAACATATTTGTGTGCCAACCCGGTATTTCATGCGCGCACGAAGCATGTGGAGATTGACTACCACTTTGTTCGTGACAAGGTTGTCCGGAAGGAGCTTCTCGTCAAATTCATCTCTACTAAGGATCAGATTGCAGATGTTTTTACTAAGGCTCTTCCTGGTCTACGTTTCTCGTTTCTTCGTGGCGAGCTCAACGTTGTCTCGCGTCTACCTTGTGCTTGAGGGGGAGTATTAGGAGTCTATATTATTAGTTCTTCATTTGTATTAGGAGTCGTCTTGTATAGTCTTATATTATCTTGTATGTCTATCATTATCAATATACACAGAACATATTATCCTCATTCCAGTAACTGGTGTGGGTATATAGTTCACTAATTCTGAATAAATTCATTGAAATATTAAGACGCAGTTTATTAGAATTTATGGCTATTCTTGGTCATGTTGCTGGTTTTTATTTTTATTATTATTATTATTTTTTCAATAAATACGGAGTAACCAAATATTTTGATTACAATAATGCAACATGTGAAAACTCAGTATATTAAATGGTAATTCCTTGAAAAAAAACATTTTGATTACTCCACATTTTATACCAGCAACCTACAAGTCTCAAAGTACAAGAAAAGGGGGTAACAAATTGCTTTAAATTGGAATGCAAAACCTGAATTACCTGGTTTTAACACCCACTTAACACCAAAATTAACGGATGACCATTTTGCCTTAAAATTTAATAGTCGGAGGACCATTTTGGGGGCAAATTGTGCTGTGCAAACTGTTCTCTGTTCATAATTACTGAACTATATGTTCATAATTATAAAACTATATATTCATAATTTTTGAATTTCATATTCATAATTATTGAACTCTATGTTCACAATTACAGAACTCTATGTTTATAATTTCTAATGCTCATATTTCCAGTTGTTAAACTCTGTATTCACAAATCACAGAACCATGTTCATAATTTGATAAGTATACAGTTTAGAAATTATGAATCTATAGTACAAATATTATTAATCTTCAGTATATAAATTATGAATCTAATGTATTTAAATTATGAATCTACAGTTTAGAAATTATAGATCTACACTATAGATTTTATGAATCTACAATATAGAAATTATGAATTTATAGTATAGAAATTATGAATTGAAACTGTGTGCACCTTGTGCATGGTGCATACGGTTGCACAACATAACATTCTCCGTTTTGAGTGCAATTAAAAATAAAAAAAATCAATTTGAGAAAATGCTATAGTCGAAGGACAATTTTGGAAATTAACTCTTGATGTAATTAGGAATGGTTTCACGGGCCAAAGGCAAAAATTGGGCCACCAGTCTCACATTGAGGTTGAGTTCAATCTTATTGGACCAAACCCTTTAATGGGATTTTGGTCCGATTTAGGCCCAACAATGTAGAAATGGGCCTCCTCGAACCATCGCAATTACCAAATCTTTTCACCTGTCTCTTCTCTCTTCTCCACACTCTTCACTCCCTCCCATCTTTACACTCTCCACTCATGCAGATTTGGATCTTTCAGTAAGGAATCATCGTCTCAGATTAATCCTCTGTATATATAATATATAGAGACTAGAGAGAGAAAGCGATGGTGAGGATAATACCAATGGCGTCATCGATTCGCCCTTCGCTCTCTTCGCTCAGGTTCTCCGGGAGCTCCCGCTTTGGCGTCTCCCTCTTCTCTCACAATCCTTGCCGGAGACTCACTTCTTTGCATCTCGGCACTGGTATTTTCGTTCTCTCCATTCTCAATTCAATTTCCATCTATCGAAAATCTTTGTTTTTTCTTTGAATTTTAATTGATTTTCCCCGTTTCCGAAGACTAAATTCTCTGTTTCCCCCTAAAATTTTCACCGTACGCTAGTATATCTGTATATGATTGGAATTGTTGTTTTGATAAATCATTTCTATTTTCGAAGACTGTATACACACGTACATATATGTTTAACAACATTCACGGTAGAATTGTTTTTTTTTTTTTTTTTTGTTTGTTTGTTTTTGTTTAAAATTAAAAATAAAATAAAAAGAGATTAGGCTGCTTTTTTAATGTATGAATAGGGGTCCTTTATTTTTATTCTTATTTATTTATTTTTGTTGATTACATGAGCATTTAAAATGAATTGCAATTGATAAAGGAAATTTCTTCATTTGGGGTTTAAGTATTGAGTAACTGTGTTTAAAAAATGGATTATTCATGCATTTTCTGCAAATGCATGATTTAGCATCCATTTGGCCAGAGTTTCCTTGCAACATGTGTTTGTGTGTGTATTTTAAATTGGTGGTTAAATTTTCAATATTGTTCCCCCTCCCCCCTCACAAGTGAAATTTAGGGTGGGAAGGTGGCATGTTAGGAAGATTCATTAGAAGATTACATATAAGAATATTGATGTGAGCTTCGCCCGTCTTAGTGATGGAAAGTTCAAACCCACTACTTGGGGCAACTAAGATTTTAAGATTGCTCAAGGCCAGCTTTCCATTTCTGGATTTTCAGATTTTGCTTGACTATTCTGTTTATCATGGTAGAGCTAGTTTGAGACTTGAGTTTCTATTCTGTTATTTTATTGTGACAAGTGAATAGACTTAAGAAAACTCAGAAGTTCACCTCATTTACTGGAATTTTTTGAGTTTGGCAAAATGTTGGTTTGTTTGGTTTGTTTTGCACTTACTTTGTAGTATTGGTGATCCTCCAGCTGTTCCACAGTTGCAATCTTTTGGCCTTAAAGCTACTTACTTGCTACGAGAAAGGGGAAGCAGAATGGCAGTGACTGCAGCTGGAAACATTGCAAATGCAAACACTACTACTACCCATGAAAATGTCTTAGAGTGGGTAAAACAAGACAAGAGAAGAATGCTTCACGTTGTTTACCGGGTTGGAGACTTAGACAGGACAATAAAGTATACATCATATGCATCATTATTTCGCTTTTCTTTTGTGAACTTGCAAGTGATACTTGTCTTGATATTCTAATTGGACTGCAGGTTCTATACTGAATGCCTAGGGATGAAACTTTTGAGAAAACGTGACATACCTGAGGAAAGATATACAAATGCCTTTCTTGGATATGGACCAGAAGATTCTCACTTTGTTATTGAGCTTACATACAGTAAGGAATCCTCTATCTTCGTGATTTACTCCCTTTATAATATTTTGGAGCATCTACACCAGATGCTTGAATTTGAATTAATTTCATTCCTTAAATCCTTATACGAGCCTTGTCTTTTATCACCTTCTTGTGGTTGTTTAATGGTGCTGCCAGATTATGGGGTTGACAAATATGATATTGGATCTGGTTTCGGCCATTTTGGGATTGCTGTTGAGGATGTAAGTTTGCATTCTATATTATTTGCAAAATAAATATTACATAAACATGGGAATCTTGATTTTTGTGCCTTTTTTTTTGGGCGGGGGACCCAATTTAATTTCTAAGTTCCTTACTTGTACATGCCCTAGCACTATTTAGACTCACTCAACAATGTGTTTGTGCATATTTTCTGTTGCTGAAGACCATTCCTTCCATGATTCTGTCTTGATTCAATCATTTTCTGCACCTTTTGGAATACTTTATCTTCTTCCATCATGAGCATTCATTTTATCCTGGATATATTTATTTAACTTCCTTTGCTATGAGCATTCATTTTAATCTCAACATGTTTATTAACTGATGATTGGCTTGGGTAGGTTGCAAAGACTGTGGATCTCGTAAAGGCTAAGGGTGGCAAAGTAACCAGGGAACCTGGTCCTGTCAAAGGTGGCAGTACGGTTATTGCTTTTGTTGAGGACCCTGATGGTTACAAATTTGAACTTTTGGAGAGAGGTCCTACACCTGAGCCACTGTGTCAAGTAATGCTTCGAGTTGGAGATCTTGATCGTGCCATTAAATTTTATGAGAAGGTAGAGACATATGAGAATATGTCCCTTCTCTACCTCTTAGTTTCATGATCTATCATATTTATAATGCTTTCTCAGTTGCAGGCTTATTTGGACCTCTAAAATTTTCCTGTATAAATTCTAATTGTATAGCATTCATATTTTAGGCTTTTGGTATGGAACTTCTGCGCACACGTGATAATCCTGAATACAAGGTATGTCCAAATTGAATATTGACAGGAAAAATTGATAGTGCCGAGGGTATATGAGTCGAAGTCAGAAATTTCTTTTGTAATGCCTTGCCTTCCTTTATTCTTTATTTTCATTCTTGCCATTGTGTCCTTTAGTATATTGTCTTTGATTCTTTGTTTTTGGTAGATAACTGTGCTTGAGAGAGAGAGAGAGTTGGGAGTGTAGTTTGCACTTTTGCTTTCCCTACAGACTAATGATAATTCTCCTTAATATCTAAAACCATTTCTAAAAGATTTAACAGATCCTGTTTATATTGTTCATAACAGTAATGATGCCCAAGAATGTTGAAAATTAAGTATACTGCACTTCATCCTGCTTTTCTTATTTCATTTCCAACCAAATTTTTTAGTATGATGTCCTTTTAAGTCAATTCAATTGGTTGTTCAAGAATAGTATCATTTCCATGTTTGGTCCTCAACTATAAAAGGAAAAAAGAAATTCATGACTTGAACTTTAGTCAACTTGTTAGATTTTTAGTCAGATTTGGATGTGATAATCAAACAGGACCAGTTTTGGGGGCTATCTTTGTCAATGCTTTCCTTCCCTCACCATTGGCACCAACAAGCTCACTAGGAAAAAAGAAAAAACCCCATCAAACTCCCCTGTATATAAGCCTCTAATTTCACTTCTCTCTCCTTCCCAATGTATTCATTGCACCACCATTCTCCAATGTGCCACCACCTCGGCACCTCCATATTAGCTCCTATATCTAGCTTTTGTCAATTTCCTAAACAAAAGTTACTTCACACTGTTTTTTGTTTTTGTTTAAAAGAACTTGATAAGAGAAATAGCAAACTTGTTAAAACTTAAAAGCGCTCGCTTTTGCGCTTAGGCAAGCGACGAGGTATCGCTCTGCCTAGGCAAGGCGCAACTATTTGAGAAAGCGTGCGCCTGAGAGCGCTTTCCGGCGAGGTGACGAAGCTGTGAAGCGGCGAAAAGCGACGCTTAACCATACAGAGTGCAAGTCAATGTTCAAAAAAAATTTAACGAAACAAAATTCTAGCTAACCGTAACCCCCTAAGTAGCGAAAAAACCTTTTGCCTCACCCCCATATCTCCGTCCTTTGCTCACCCGCTCACCCCCTTCGTCCATCACTGCTTTCTTCCTCGACCAGCATCACCGTCCTCTGCTCACCCGCTCACTCCCTTCGTCCATAACTGCTTTCTTCCTTGACCAGCTTCATCGTTGCCTCGCTGTCGCCTGTTAGCCGAACTCAGAATTGCGAAGTAAATCGCAGCTGCTTCTCACTCTTTTTTTTATTTTTTTTCTATGTTGAAGAAGATGACTGACTTCTAAGGTTAAAATGTTAAATAGGAATAGAGTTGGAGTCTTGGTTGGACACCTGGCAGCAGTAGTTTGCACTTCACAGTTCACTATACACATTATTTATTTATTTTATTTTATTTTGAAAACACTGTACACGTTTTGATTTTTTTCCCATATTTTTATTAAATTAAAATTTGAAATTGTTATAATTAAAATCGTAAATTTCCATTTACATTTAATTCAATCAAGTTTTATTATATTATCGAATTATAAGTTTATGAGATTATCAATTTATTACTATTTATATTATCTTTGCATTACTATTTGACTATATATTTATTTTTTTTATAAAGCGTCGCTTTATGTGAAATCACATAAAGCGACGCTTCGCTTTAAAGTGAAGCCCGGGCTCATCGCTTCGGTGCACTTTTTTGCTTTAATAAGTTTGAGAAATAGAGGAAAACAGAAATGAAATGCTACTAAACTACCCTGAAGGTTTAAGAAACCAGGACAGAGGAGATGGAGGTGGACGACAGATATATAAATAGAGAAGAAGATGGGAAGAAAATAATTATTGGTTGGTAGAGAAGAAGATACAAAAAGGAGAGGCTTGTTATGAATTGACTAGAAAGCCCTTGAGCCCTTGCCACACTACTGGCTTGTGACCATTTTCTGTCCATATCTAACCAAAAGCCTAAAGACAGGACTAATGCCGTCCAAGTCATCAAAGATCAATAACTGCATCTAGTTTTTCTAATTTTTCTTTCATTGCAATTGATAATTTGGACATCCAGCATATTTCTAAAACAGTTTTTGCTAAATTCCATTTATAATTCCAGCTTGCACTCATAATGGCAATTTATAGACAGATAAGACTTCATTTTTTCCATAATAAGGCATAAATTTCTTTGGTAGTCAAGATTGTCATATCTGAGACTTTTACTGTTGTCATCTGTGCAGTATACAATAGCAATGATGGGCTATGGTCCTGAAGATAAGAGTGCAGTCATGGAGTTGACTTACAATTATGGTGTTGCAGAATATGACAAGGGAAATGCCTATGCACAGGTAACACTTCAATGAAGTCTAGTACCTGTTAGATAAATCTTTTTGCCACAAGATGATATCATATCTTAAATATCACAAGCTAACTTCATGATTCGTCTCTTAACAGATGGCAATAGGCACTGATGATGTTTACAAAACAGCAGAAGCAATAAAACTCTGTGGTGGAAAGATTACCAGGGAACCAGGACCACTGCCTGGTATCAACACTAAAATAGTAGCTTGTGTTGATCCTGATGGTTGGAAAACGGTATGTTCTTCCCTTATGACTACTTGTTAGTTGTTACCCGCCACTCAAAATTTCTACAATTATTTATTTATTCCCCCCCCCCACCCCCCCCCCACCCCCCCTATTTTTGTTAAAATCTTTCAAAGTTCTTTAAGATCTGCAAATTGTGTTGGTATTGAAGATAGGGGACCTTACATGTTGGGATTGAATTCATGTGAATCTCTGAACATATTTAATGTTCTTCCAAAATCCCCTGAAAACCAGAAATAATTTTTGATTGATCAGTTGATATAATCCTTGATAAAGAAGGCATTCACGACTTGGCTCATTGGTTACTCTGGCCTTGCAGGTTTTTGTTGATAATGTAGATTTTGTGAAGGAATTGGAGTAAGTAGATGTCATAAATGAAGACCTTCATGCCATGAGCATTGAATTCTGATTTTGTGGATAGACCGAGCATAGAAACCTGCAACTTTCTTCAACATTGTAGATGCATTAGTTTTTGTATTACTTGAAACTATATTGTTGCCAGTCAAAAGTATTATGTACTCAACAACTCAAGTTGGAAAGTAGAATGGCAATGGCTCTTGCTGACATTTCCCATATTGTATTATACCCGCAGTTGATTGTTTAGTGAAGCTTCCACGATTCCAGGCCCTATGGCCTATTCTACTTAGATGCTAAATTGTACAACTGTGATCTTTAAGCAGTTTGGTCTGTAAATAGACAATTATATGTGACTAACCATTTTGATTGGTTTAAGTACTGTGGGCCAACCGACCAGCAGGTTGGTCGGCCACCTAGTCTTGATATCGTAAGTAGTCATATTCTCTTATAAAAGAAGTTGAAGGCTTAGAATCTCTTCAGGGGTTGGTCATGTAGCACTGAGCTACAGTCCCTGGCAAGTATGGCTTTCTAGGAAAAATACTTCAATCAAATTTGAACACAAGTGAGAGTAAAAGCATGCCAAATCATAAAGAGTAGAAAATGGGAGTATGAAATGAGAGTACATATAGAACTACTTACTTTTTAGAAACTTTATTATATTTTTTTTTTTGTGAGACCATGAGGTGTCCCGAACAGGTCTTAATTGTAGGAGGCATTTTTTAAGTCCGTATTATACTCAAACTAATCCTCGTTCGCATTGGGCCGGACCAATTAAAGGGTAAAATGTTGGCTGTATTGACTTTTTTATACGAGAGGGGGTTCGAACTCGTGATCTCTCTTAAGGGACGATGGTGCACGGTCACACATGCCAACCAGGTTAACTTTATTATAGGAATAAGGGTGTCATCGAACTACACACTAGAATGCATTTAGGTCATTGAACCCAAAAAAACATGGAATTGGGTCTCTAAACTAACCAATTTCATGCAATTAGTCCAAATTTATAGATTTTTCAGATTTCTAATAGGCCACCTCAAATTTAAAATATTTTTTAAAAATAATTATTTAAAATTAAATTAAATTAAAAAAAAGGTTGCGCCGGAGACGAAGAAGCCATATTCGTCTCTGGCCGGAGACGAAGAGTCTCTTTCTTCGGCCAGCCTTCTTCGTCTCTGGCCGGAGACGGCGAAGAAGGTTTCTTCTTCTTCAGCCATGGAGACGAATCAATGGCCGGAGATGAAGAAACTTCTTCGCCTCCTTCGTCTCTGGCGGCTACGTTTTTATTTTTATTTTTAAATAATTAATTTAAAATAATTATTTTGAAAAAAATATTTTAAATTTGGGTGAACTGTTTGAAACCTGAAAAACTTAGCAAATTGGACTAATTACATGAAATTGGTTAGTTTAAGGAATTAATTGCATGTTTTTTGAATTTAATGATCTAATTTCATTTTAGTGTGTAGTTAGATGGTCTATTTGACCCTTATTCCCTTTATTATATTATTTAAACTTTGATAATACATTTTTGAAATCTCTATTAATATTGGATGAACCTATTTATTCACATGCACTTAAGTTCTAGGAACTTTAATTTTTGTCCTCCTTCCATTTACAATTTTACATCATAAACAAATTTATCAAATGAGATTAAAGTAACAAGCCAATAATGAACTGTATATGTAACAAAATATGACTTTCCACATACATATAACCACCTCAGTGTTGGGATTTAAATTGTAGACTATATACACTATTACAGAGGTAGCAATTTGCATCAATCCTTCTACTTCTTAAACTAATACTGATTTAATTTACATTAATATATTATATTATCAAATATCTATTACACCAAAAGTTATAATTGATAGTAATGACAAATTTGTTTTCTTATATTTACTAATTTTTAGAATCAATTACTTACTATTATGCCAAAAACTATATATAGTTGAAAGACAATAGCAAATTTATAACTTTATTTTCTTATATTTGCTTAACAACCAGTGCCACGTTTCAAATGCACAGTAACGGCAAAATGTTGGATTTAGTCCTCCAAACCCCCATCTAACATACATATATATATTTTTTCGACATCTTCTACTCAGATGCCTCCTTTCGAAAGTAAAATAACGATGTATTTAGCTCATATCAAGTGATTGAGAAAAGAAAGAAAAAATGATCTCTTTCAAAATTGATCACTTTTTTTTTTTTTTTTTTTTTTTTTTGGGGCATATTGGCATCATATTGGGAGTGAGTGTAGTTTTTCACACTTTCACTATATACACATATATATATGTATATAGATGTCGCATGTTCAAATGAGAACAATGTTGTATGCAAAAAAAGCAAAATAATATTAGCTGTCGATATAGATTATAGATGATCAATGTCAAAATTTCAGAGTACATCCATTATAACGTTAAGTTTAAAGACTTGTGCCATATCATCTACACCTCCATGGATAGTAAATTATGCTCTTCTAATACATAGTAAGCTTTGGTTTGAATATAATATCATATATATTCATCTACCCACTATATTTTTGGACTCTTCTAACTCAAATTCCTGTGTTTTATTCCAAAATCAAAATCAAAGTTTGCTTTATACCTTGTGCGTATCAAATTGCATCTTTTGTGCAATCCATACCGTTACCTTAATTCCCATTTCTTACTTTAATTGGATGTAGACACTTATACGTACCAAAAACGAATATGATTTTATTCCTTTGTATCCTATTTTAATCCTTCTTTTATACGCTTTACAAGAACAAAAATACCATTTACTTGAAAGTGATTCGTTATTAACCATTTGAGAAGATCTCACAAGCTAAGGAGAAATTATAGAGACCCTTATATGAATATTATTAATGTTATTCGTGAGTTAATTAAGAAAGACTGGAATTGCAGCTAGCCTGCATTATATTCATCTAGAAACAAACTTTCCTAGCTACTAACTAGATGTGTTCTGGTATAAGGGAAGAAATAACAAGGACAAGAGAAAAAGATCACAAAAAAATAAAACCTAAGTCACTCGATCTAATGTAATTTACTATCAAGAAAGATGTAAGAAATGATATTTGATGAGAAGTCAAAAACAAGAAAGGCCAAACAACCATGCATGGCTATCATCATAACTTTAATTTCTTGTTGATTATCAAGATATCAAAACTAGATTTGCATGTCCTACCTCCATGTGAGACAAATCTGAACTGTCCATCTAGTAAATTTAATGGCTAAAAATATATATTTGTCGGGTTAAAGATATATTTACTTTCAATTAGTGTCATGTATGTTTGGTGATATGAATGTGTTAATTATTATTTTCTACTCTTACCCAACATAAAATATTCTACATTAGGAAAAATATGATATTGAAGGAAGAAAAGCATAAGAAATGATTTGTTCTATTTTACATCATGGCTCAATCAAAGGGTCCATCAAGGCAAATTAAACACCAACCATGTAAAAAATTGAAATGATTTTCACCTCATGGGTAAAAAGCATTGAACTCGATCACCCAACAAAAACAATTTCATTTCATTTCATCATCAAGCTTTTTTTTTTTTTTTTTTTTTTTTTTTTTTTTGGTGTTTCCACTTTAATCTTCTTTTAAAAAGTTAATCACCAATGAAACATATAGAATAAATAGAATAGAAAAAATTCCAAATCAATGAGCCAAAACGTATATGCCACTACTAAAAATGAAAACAAAAAAGAGAGAACACAGTTCAGTTTCTCGAGATCATACAGTTATCTAAATACACTTGTCTCAAAGTCTGTAAGTGTAATATATTTTTTGATTGACATTCACCTACAGGGATTAGTTGGATCTAATGCTCGAATCCCTATATCTTAACACCAAAAAAGCATAAATCCAAGTGTTGGATGCAGCTGTCTACTTTATACCCAACCCTAATTAGGAAAATATTCCACTGTACTGATAGTATCAAACCATAAAATGAGAGGAAGGCATTAGCAACATCATTATACCTTCGAATATGGTTTACATTATAATGTGAATCACTGACATAAAGTTCATTTTTAAGTTGTATTTAAAAATCAGGAAAATTACTCTTATTTTTAAAAAAATATTTTCTTTTTCAGTGTTTGATTGATTTTAGAAAACTGGCCTGGTGTGTTTGATTTATTTTCTAGAAAATGAGCAAAATTGTATAATTAACATCGGTTTCATAAAAAATTAGTATTATTTATTATTATTATTATTATTATTATTATTATTTTTTTTTTTTTTTTTTTTTTTTTTTTAAATGAACAATGAGTTTTCATTAAAAAAAAAAAAAAAAAAAGGCGGCCAGAAACCAATTTTTTTATTTTCGTTGGAGACCAGATTTAATCTGGTTTTCGTTGGAAACCATTTTTTTGAATTGGGGTTTCCGTCAGGAACTAAAGACGGGTTTCCGACAGAAATATGCAAGTTCGTCCGATCCGGAGATGGAGAAGGTTGTGGTGGAAAATGACTTCCCCTGAAAAAAGGGAAGTCATTTTCCAAAAAATTGGCTTGGTTTTCCTTTGATTGGAAATTTATTTCCATAGACTTTGGTATTTTTCCCATTTCCAAACATAGCCTTACTATATTTTAGATTCATTTTTAATATATCGAAAGGTTCTTTATTTGTTAGGTATATTACTTAAAAATGAACATTCAATACCTTAAAAATGAAATTTCAGTATACTAAAAATGAATTAATATTTATCGATAGTTGACTTTGCAATGTGGACCATGGACCACAATATAATTTGGCATGATATTTATGTATCCATCCTCCATGAGATGATAAAGAAAACAGTTGGACAAATTCCATCAACTTGCTTAATTAATTATACTTTTTGCAACTTTAGCTTTGATTAATATAATAATGTGTTCTACTTTAATTCTGAACATAAGTGAAAGGAAATCCATACAGTGTGTTACGTTGTAGTACCAGAAAAACAGTACTTTCTTTCATTTCTAGCTTCCATTAATAATCTTCTCACCAATTAATGTCATAATCTGAGCTCCAGGTCTAATTCTTGGCTTCCATTGCATTCAGAATTATTCTGACTACCTGAACCCATTGAATCACTTCTGTCTTTCTTCCTCTTCTTCTCGATCGAGTCCTGTTATTTCAATCAATCAATCAATTATCAGTCTCACGGAAATATGTCTAAATAGCGGTTAGCTGATTGTAGAAAAGTATTTGGTAAATCAGTTATTAGCTTATTACATGCAGAATGACTTTCTCAAAAAGCTAATCGAAAAAGCCGTTTTGAGCAACTTTTTGAAATTTAGCATTTTGAAGCAATAAGTTACATGCTTGTTTGGTAAAAAATTGGCCTATAGGCTAATTTTAGCTTATTTGACCACTATTAATTGTTTGATTTAGTTAAAATATCAATATAAATGTTTGGTTAATTAGCATTTTGCAACTCCAAAAGGTTAAAATTCAAAAAGCTACTCCAAGCAACTTTTTCAATTAGCTTTTTGAAAAAAAAAATTATACTAAACCGCTATCAGCTAACAGCTAATTTACCAACACTTTTTTACAATCAGCTAATTGTTATCAACTATTTATACCCTATAATTAACACAATCAGCTATCAGCTAACAACCATTTTATCAAACAGGGCCATAATCAAACACTCGTATTGATTGTTTAACCAATCCAAACAGCTAATAGTGATCAAATAAGCCAAAATTAACTGATAGGCTAACTATGTTACCAAACCGAGCCAAAAATATGTATCTATACACGCATTCATGTATATAATATTGATACATACCTCTACTTGTAGGTTGAGGAAATGTCTAGTCATGTTTGGTTGTGCATATTGTTGGGGCTCATAGACTGTGCCAGGATGCCAACTGGATGGTTTCATTTTGTCCAAATTCAACAAATTGATTAGAAATGGCACATGCTAAACCCACCAAATTGCAATTCTTCTATAGATAATGGGGATAAAGTTTTTAGTGATTCTTTCATCATATATTAAATGTCTGTGATAAAAACAAAGATAATATTGCTAGCTATATTACATAGGAGCGGGCTGAGGTTTACGTTATTGGGTAGTGACTGCGAATTTCTCTCGTCACCCAACGAAAATTATAGATAATTATATGTACAAGGAAGTTTAATTTAATTTGAAGAAATTAATGTTGGAGAAAATATATGGTACCTTGGGGTTGAGCTAGGTTGGGAATCTCCAAATCTGATATTTGCTCTTTCCAAGTCATTTCCCATCTGAAAATAATCAAACTTTTGGTCATAAAATGAAGTAACAATATAATGTAGATATAAATTCATGTATATATATAGTTCTCCCAAATATTGCCTACTGAACCAATAGCTAAATCTGTGCCGACAATTCATGTGTATACAGAATCAATGTTGTTCATCAACATAAAACATCATGAATAATTCTGTATATATACTCAACCAATTTCTCGTAAATCACTGCTACTAATTAATAATTACACTTGTAAAATTTATGCAAATTCATAACTAAGAATAATTAAGGAGTTATATTATATATTATTCAATTACATACTATACAACAAATAATAATGATTCATCTAGCTAGGGTTGACTAATAATAGGATAATATATACAAGCATGATTCATGAGATTGCTATATAGTTTATATGAAGGCCTCCCATATTCTTGGAAAGATGAAAGAAAATTCAAGATTTTTCCAGAATATATAAAAATTAAAAAAAAAAAAAAAACAATAATAATTCCTTTCATGCAAACTGTAGTAGTGTTGTATGTTAGATAATAGATATATATATACCATGGTTTGAAAGGCAGGAAGACAAGCATAAGATGATGATGAAGACGAGGAATAAGGTGTCTGCAATCTCATGTCCTCCTGTTGTATTTCAAGAACAACAACATAAGTAAACACCCAACTAACAATCGGGATCAAGAAAATCTCAGATATATAGATTCTCAAAGAGAGGGAGAGAGAGAGAGAGAGAGAGACCTGGGAGAGATTAGTGGCGGCGAAAGGGTTATGGTGAAGAGACGGAGGTGGGAGATGATGATAAGCACAACCCATTTGGCTGTGCAATCTAATCTTCTCTAACTGGGCAACCCCAAGACCTCTCTGCGGCTGTTTAGGCTTCTCCGAATTGCTCTTCTTGCTCTTCCGAGACGATGCTGCTCCTGTTCTTTCGTGATTTCCTAGGTTTCTCTCCCCATAATAACTCATCTCTCTTCTGATCTCTTTGCAGAAACTTTAATCTCTTTGCTTCACGTACAGGTGAGGTGCTATGGCAACTGAACAAATATAAGAACTAACACAGAAACACTAGAGGATCGGAGGGAGAATGGTATCAGAGATCGAAGAGATCCCCAAGAGGCCTTGCTTTTTAAGCTGTCAACACTTCTATTCGTGTGTAGATACAGATACTACTAATTATTGCATCGCTGGATCAGATTGTATTTAGATTTGTATATGTGATTCATTTCCTTACATATATATTTCTCTCTCTCTCTCTCTCTCTACCCCCACCCCCCACCCCAAGCATTGATAGGGAGTTCATTTATTTATTTACTAGATAGGATATATATATGATATTATTATAAACTATTCTGTATGTATATTGTAGATCTAATTGTTTAATACATACGCTTTAAATGATGTTCATTGTTTTTACATTTTTTCTAATAGTAATTAATTATTTTTGAAAGCAAATAAAAGAGCACACTGGCTTCTTGAGTGAGCAATAGTATCAAGCCAATGATGATATGATGTGATTAAAGTTATAGTTAATAGCAGAGATAAATCTTTATTTCTTTATATTTTTGTAGCAATTACCATGTTTTGATGACATGATACTCGACTTGACTCTCCAAACCTCTGTCCAATGAAAAGTAATTTATATTTTTCATATTTATCTTTTATATATGTGACACAGAGAGAGACACACACATAGTAGTTGATAGATACATAGCACATTAATTAATTTTGTGAAGTTGCATAAGTTGTTGTTTATATTATTTAATAATTTAATGTTGGTCATGGGTGGAAGACTATGAGTCGATAGCGATTGTGTCACTGATTCATGAACTCTTAAAATATGCAATTATTCCTTTTGGTTTCTTTCCCCTACGCGTTTCTTTCTTTGATCGCCCATTTTTTAAATTCATTTTAATATTATAGAAATTAAAATAATATAATATATACTTTCTTTCTTGCTTACCTTTCTGTCACGAGGGTGACTTTTTGCCAATCAAGTTATCTCACAACTTACGTTTCTTTATAACATAAATGATTTTCTTTAATGTATGGTTATTGTATAATTTATAATTTTATATCAGTTGTTTAGCGGAAGTTTAGAAGGTGAGTCCATTATACTGTCATCCAAACATGATGATGACGGTTAGAAAATAAAGTTGTTTGTTAGTTAATAGTTATAATTTTGACATAGTGATAAACACTCAATTAGTCTGATTGGTTGGTTTGTTAATCTCATCTTTTTCTAAAGCATTTAATTCGCTTATTTGAAAATTTATTATAATGCATTTATTAAATTGAGAAATTACAATTATAATATTTACTCGTCGTATTGAAATAAATTTTTAATTTGTTAGAATAGAATGTTTATTGTTATACAAAAAGTTATGGTTAGTAGAGATGTCACTTGCTTTTATATCAATTGTTAGGACTAAATGCTTTTAAGTTTTAATTATGTCAACAATTATATTTAGTAGCATAAGTTTAACTTTATTTCTCTATACTTGCGTAACTTCCATCACCACATTTCGATGGTAGGATGGTATTGGCCCAACAATATTGTATCCGAACGTTTCTTATATTAAGCAAGAAAGTGTTGACAAACTTTTTATGCGCATGCTACTCCATTGGGTTCATTCAACAAAGTTTGAATCTAATTTTTTTACTTAAGGAAAAAAGTGTTAAGATTAAACGCTTATTTTATGCCAAAAGTTATAACTAATAATGAAAATGTAACTTTATATATATTCTGTCTATTTTTTACAATTACGTAATTAACAGTCATCAGCGCCACATTTCAATAATTAATACTAGACTTACTCCCAAAATCTTCGTCCAATAAAAATTCTTCACTTAAATTATTGATTGGCAATACTTTTTTGTTGTTGAAAAAATAGACTTTTTGTTATTTTTCCTTTATATCTTTTTGTAAGGGGATGTATTTCATATAAAATACAAATCCTCGTGCATGTCTGTTTTTTTTTCTTTATTCTTTTTTCTTTCCTGTCTTTTAATTTTATATTGGGTTTAGGTGTGGGGAAAATTTTTCTTTGTCACGCTTTTCATAACCTAATACTTTGCATTTAAGTATAATAATTAATTATGAATTTTTAAATATAAAACATTATAGAGATCTGTTTTTTTTCTTCTCAATATAATTAATTACATGATCGTGATCGAGTATGTATAGTTTCACCACTTTATAACCCTTTTAAATTCTAACTTCTAATGGGATTAAAATCTGGATTAAGAATTTGGTGGGAAAATCGATCATATTTTGATGTGGCCATGGAAACATAGAAAATTTTATAATATTGTGTTGTTGACAAAAGATTTGTTTATTTTTGGAAAAAGTGTTATAAACATTCAAATATAACCATAATAATTTTTTTTTAGAGTATAATTCGTACGATACACATTGTAAAATAAAGCAGAACATATAATATATAAAATAATAAATATATAATCTCACTATAAGGTCCTGTTAGAATTATATACTTACCACTATACCAAAATTTATAACTAAAAACGAATCTAAAATTGCATTTTTTTTTTTAAAATTTGCATAGTAGGCAATGTCACGTTAAGATGACATGATGTTGAACTTGACGCTCCACATGTTGTTTGGTCATGGTTGGAGAGAGGTAACCCGCATGGGCAGCTCAACTGGTCATAGAGGTGAAATTTTGGAAAAATGACCAAGGATCGAGTCTCACCAACGGTAGTGAGGGGGGTTCCTTGTGCGCAGTGAGCAAATGTCTAGCCTCTGTGGTTCATGTTCAGTTGAGTTACCATGACTTACATCTTCCTAAATGCTTTGTCGGCTTGGGGTTCAACCTTTTGGAAGAATGGTTGGAGAGAGGTAAACCGAATTGGAAAGACCCATATGATTCGACCAATATGGTGTTGACAGGAATCAAACTTGTGACCTTTATTACTTAGACTACAGTTCGGCCCAATTAAGAGGCAAAACCAAATTGGTTTTTCCATACGAGAGGGTGTTCGAACTCCCGACATCTCTTAAGGGGTTCCTTGTGCGCAATGAGCAAAGGTTTAGCCTCTGTGGTTCATGTTCAGTTGAGTTACCATGATTTACATCCTCCTAAATGCTTTGTCGGGTTGGGGTTCAACCTTTTGGAAGAATGGTTGGAGAGAGGTAAACCGAATTGGAAAGACCCATATGATGGGCTCGACCAATATGGTGTTGACAAGAATCAAACTTGTGACCTTTATTACTCAGACTAATGTATCCCCATTGCCCCAGTTCAGCCCAATTAAGAGGCAAAACCAAATTAATTTTTTCATACAAGAGGGTGTTCGAACTCCCGACATCTCTTAAGGGATGAAAGTGAACGGTTACTCACGCCAACCAAACTAGTTATATTACATTTTATTTGAGGTTAAACAAATACTTTAAACTAAATCCACTAAATGTATCCATTCCAACCTTCCATCTATGTGGATTTCCATTTCCATAAACTATTACCAACTTTGTCTATATATGAAGTAAAATTTAAGAAAGGTATATCGTAGATTCGTAGTATACTAGATTGGTAAGCATTTAGAGGATTTTGTCGGATTAAATGGCATTCAATTTTAGATCCGAGAGATATTTATTAATTAGCTTTTCTTAATTGGTTTTGTAACGATCAATTATTTTACAAGACTACCTCATACCATAATTAATCAAAACGTTCAATATTTAGCTTTACACGTAAAGGGATCCATCGATACGCGATTTATTTCCATCATCAAACTAAATCCTATGCAATTAATTAATCCCCTCATTAAAATTAAAATTTAAACAATATATTGAAAAAACATATATAATGTTGAAGGGTAAGAATATTAATTAATAAAAATATGAGTGAGGCTTAAATTATTCACAAAACACATGAAAATGCAATTAGGCTGCTCAACTAAAAAACAATACAATTGACTCCCTCAACAAGTAAATTATTATTTAAATTATAATCTACATTGTAATGTGAAACACTGATAGATGTTTATTTTTAGTATACTGAAACTTCATTTTTAATGTACTATAAATTTATTTTTTAAGTAATATATTAAAAATAAACTTATAGAACACTAAATAAGAATTTATATGTCGTGGATCATGATCCACAATATAATGAATGCCCTCAACAAGTGGCTGGTAATCCAGATAGAGTGTTAATGTGATAGTTAAAAGATTTAAAGTTTTTTTTTTTCTTTAACAATTTCATATTTGAGGATGAAATTAAGCAAGTTTGGAAGTCGAGCTGAGGACCAAAGTGGTAAAATCCTAATAATCAAGGTACCAAAACGAGTATTAACTCATTTAACTCTTATTAAACGAACGAATATTTAGCTGAAGAACAAAATCTGGAACAAAATTAAAAAGAGACCACTTATGGTCAAATTTAAAGTCAATGATAAAAATTTATAAATGTTAATAATCAATGGATCATTATTGAAATTAACCCTTTTTAATTTTTGAATATATTTATATATTGATACAAAAGAATAATTATGAAGAAAAAATAATATTTATTGATATAAGATAATAATTTTTTAATGTAATCGAGAAGTGTGACTCACTTTTTTAAAAGTTAGTTGAAATTTCAGAAATATCGAGAAAATAGTGAGTAAATTATAAATTTGATATTATTGTGAAAGTACTATATATTTTTTGAAAGTGAGAAAGTATTGAATGATTAATGGTAGTCTTATGATATTTTCTAAATAAAATATGGACTAAAAGTTTCATTTTTCATGTAAAAATGTTGTGGACAAAATCATATTAATTTTAATTTGTTAGAACACATGAAACACTTTCTTAATATTTTATTACACCTATGCAATCACTATCCGGGTGTGTATATTAAATTTTGCGACTAATTAACTCAAATTAAGAATGTCAATAAACGTCAAACTTCATACAAAAATTGTGATAAACGGGATGCACAAACAGCTACAAGTAGAAAAACCAAGACCCAACGGCTCTAGGGTTTGGTAGTTATTTTTGGTAAGTTTTCCCGCGACTCTACTGGCCTTGGCCATGGAGGCCGAGCCGGTGGCTCCGACGCCCGCCACGGAGGGGCAGTCGGAGCAAGTTGGGGGAGGAGAGAGAGTTGTTAAGCGATACAAGGCTTCGAAAAGGACTTTTGCGGAAACGGCGGCCGATCATCCCATGCCGGGGGAAGATACTGGTGATGTCGATGATGTGAGTAACTGGTTTGACACCGAGATCGTAGTGGAGTCGGATACAGAGGAGGATGTTCCCGATAGCACAGTGGATATTCCGGTGGTAAGGTTTTCAAAGAAACAACGCGAGGAATGGATCAAGCCTTGGAAGAACGCGTTGCTGGTCAAATTTTTGGGCAAAGCGGTGGCTCTCCCTCTCTTCCAACAGAGGATGTTACGCATCTGGAATCCGGAAGGGAGATCAGAAATTATTGACTTGGGCTCGGGATGGTTCATAGCGCGATTCCAACTCCAGAAAGACTGCATGCATGTTCTGGTTGATGGTCCTTGGAAGTTATTCGACCACTACGTAGTTGCACAGAGATGGCGGCCAAACTTCAGGCCAGAAACTGCAAAGATGGAGAGGATGGCGGTCTGGACCCGTCTTCCTGGACTGCCGGTTGAATTCTTCAGGGAAGAAGCAATCAAGCAAATTTTGATGAATGTAGGAACCCCGTTGAAACTGGATACCACCACGATCGGGGTTCAGAGGGGTCAATTTGCACGGGCTGTGGTTGAGATTGATCTCACTAAACCTCTAGTGGCAGTTGTTAACGTGGAAGATTACCCCCAACGCGTTGAGTTTGAGGGATTAAAAGTGATCTGCTTTGATTGTGGTGAGATTGGGCACCGCTCTTCGGGCTGCCCTAAGAAGCAGAGTAATGACATCCCGGATCCTCCGACGAATGACAAAGAAGATGGGGTTGAACAGGAGGCCATGAACATGGAGCAACAGAATCATCCTGCACCAGTGGAGAAACATGGAGAATGGATGATCGTTAAAAACAAGCATAAATCTAAGAATAGACCCATGAATAGACAGAACCCGAAACAAAACAAAGGTGACAAAAGCCATTACCGGTCTGCCACCAATGCGGGGAAGAAGTCCGCAACTCCCAGAAACAACAACCAGTTCGAGACCCTCCGAGGGGCGGAGGATGTGCCTGAAGCCGGTCACTCTCGAGGCAAAAAGAAAGGGGCGCCGGCTTCTAATAGAGGTAAAACTTCAAACACTGTTTTTTCCCAACCACAAAACTTGTCTTTTACCATGCAGGAAGATAACACGACTAACCTGGTACGGGGCGGCGTAGAGGTTACACCACCACCTTGGACCCAATCCCTGGCGCACGCGAGAGGGGGTTCGGCCAGGGGAGGCAGTAACCGCGGGGGCTTCCAGTCAGGCCCTCGGGGTAGAGGTCGCAGCATTGGACGGGGAAGAGGAGGTTTGTTTTCTGGTCCTGCTTCGAATGTCCAGCTTAACCAGAGGGAGGGTAATCTTGTGGATAACCCTTCGGTGTTTCTCTTCGGTAGTAGCATTGCCTCTACCAGTGAGGAGACTACACCACCTAATCGGCATTTGTTTAATCTCAATAATGCGTTTACGCCCGGGGAAGGCGGTGGCCCAACTTCCCCTCTGGCTCGTGGTAACCCATGAAGATCGTATCCTGGAACGTTAGAGGTGTGGGGAATGGGAGAGTGAGGAGACATGTTAAACATCTCATTCACTCAACCAAACCCGATGCCTTATGCCTCCTAGAGATACGGACTAGTAAGGTTGACGGCATGGTTAATCTTGCCGCCAACCTGGGCTTTACTAATCATTTTCTTGTCAAGCCTCTTGGTTTTGCAGGAGGGCTGCTTCTTTTATGGGATCATGGACGAGTGAATCTGGAGGTTATGAGTCATTCGTCTCAAGCAATCCATACAAAGGCAAAGCAGGGGGTAGGTGACTGCTTTATCACCTTCGCGTATGTAAGACCCAATCTCATGGCGAAATCGAGATTCTGGGATGAGTGCAAGGTCGTTAGCAATACGCTCCAGTCCCCTTGGATTCTGTTAGGGGACCTTAATGACATTGCATCAGCCGAAGAGCAGTGGGGGAGTGAAACAACATGTTCCTCGGCAATGCAAAGATTCGTGGAGGCTCTTGACAGTTGTGGGTTGTTCGAACTTGAAGCCGCTAGGAGTCGGTTCACCTGGTGCAGACATGTGGGCAACCGTGTGGTGCAGATGCGCAGACTGGATAGAATCTTATGGAATATGAGGGCTCAAGCTTTGTTCCCGGAGGCAAAATCAATCGTCTTACCTAGGCTCTACTCGGACCACCATCCAATTCTCTTCATAGACGTAGCTGGTAATCCACCGGACAGAGATGCGCGACCTTTTCGTTTTGAAGCCGCCTGGCTCGGAAGAGATGATTACAGGAAACTCTGGGAGGAAACAGCCAAGGCCTCCGAGGGTGGGTTGGAGAATTTTATTCCATCCATAACTGAAAAAAGCAAAACGTGGAATAGAACCGTGTTTGGCAACATCTTTCAAAGGAAAAAGCAACTAGAAGGGCGGATTCATGGGATTCAACAAGACCCCAATTTTGCTATTTCAGGCGGTCTACAAGCTCTGGATAGGCGTCTTAACAAGGATCTTAATGCTGTGCTAGATCAGGAAGAAACTCTTTGGTTCCAAAAAGCAAGAACTAGTTGGATCAAAGACGGCGACAGGAATACTCGTTTTTACCACAATTCGGTGGTCATCAAGAGGAATAGAAATCGTGTCAGATTTCTGAAAATCAATGGAGCTTGGACTGCAGACCCCACAGTCTTATCCACTCATATCACTGATTTTTTTTCTTCGTTATTTTGCAGATCCCCTTTGATGGGAGATTCGGAGATTGCCCCCGTTCAAGATTCCAGGAAACTTAATGCGGTGCAAGCTCGGCGTCTTATCCTTCCTGTGCCAATGGACGAAGTTAGAAAAGCCGTGTTCGGGATGAAAAGGTTTGGTAGCCCGGGGCCGGACGGCATCCCAGCGGCCTTCTATCAACATTATTGGGAATCAGTGGGACCTTCGCTTACTCAGTTGGTTAATCATGCGTTACATTCTGGGACGGTGCATAAGTCCCTTTTGGTGGCGTTCATGTGTCTCATCCCTAAGAAAGAAGCCCCGGAATCAGCGGCCGACTTCAGACCGATAACCTTACTGAATGTAGCCTTCAAAGTTATCTCCAAAGTTTTAGTCAATAGGATGCGGCCCATTATGTGCAATCTCATAGGTCCACACCAAAACAGCTTTCTGCCGGGCCGTTCCACGCTGGATAATATTATCTTAACTCAAGAGATTATTCACACCATGTATAAGAAGAAGGGGCGCAAGGGTCTTATGGCGGTTAAAGTAGACCTACAAAAAGCCTATGACAGTGTGGATTGGACTTTCTTGGAAGATACCCTCGTGGGCTTTGGTTTCCCCAAACAGTTCATTGATTTGGTGCTTTACTATCTGAGGGAAAGCAACATTTCTGTCCTTTGGAACGGGGGTACCCTCCCCTCCTTTGTGCCGGGGAGAGGTCTCCGTCAGGGAGATCCTCTCGCGCCTTATCTCTTTAACCTTGTCATGGAACGCCTCGCTTACGACATTCAGAGAGAAGTATCACGGGGAAACTGGAAACCAATATCCATCTCTCGGGGAGGTATTGGGATCTCCCACATTTTCTTCGCTGATGATCTTATGCTTTTTGGTGAAGCTACTGAACGCCAAGCAAAAATTATGATTGAGTGTCTGGATAGGCTTAGCAGAGCGTCTGGTTTGAAAGTCAACCTAGCCAAATCCCAGACTTTCTGCTCGCCTAATACAGGGTCCGGTTCCAAACAGAATATTGAAAATGTCATGAAGATTCCAATCACGCCTCACCTCGGCTCCTACCTGGGCATCCCCCTCCTCCAAAAGCGGGTTTCTAAAGACATGTTTGGTGCTATTCTGAGTAAGATGAGACAGAAACTAGCCTCTTGGAAGGCTAGCTCGTTAAGTATGGCGGGTAGAAGAGTCCTGGTTCAATCCTCCCTATCCACTATCCCGACCTATACCATGCAGTCTTTATCCCTACCGGTGAGTACTTGTAATGGCATAGACAAGATTTGCAGGAATTTTCTTTGGGGCCATGCAGAAGATACTAGAAAAATGCATACTGTCAATTGGGCCACCATCTGCAAACCCAAAGATATGGGGGGCCTGGGGATCAGACTTTCAAGAGATTTCAATCTTGCGTTCATGACTAAGTTGGCCTGGCAAATGACTAATTGTGCTGACAAAATTTGGGTGCAAGCTTTGAGAGAGAAGTACATAAAAACTCAGGATTTCTTGACGGTTCCGCCCAAATCCACCGATTCCTGGGGGTGGAAAGGGATCCTTAAGGGACGTGACATCTTGAAAAAAGGCGTTTGTTGGAAAGTGGGCACCGGAGAGTCCATAAACGTCTGGTATGATCGTTGGGTGGGCTCAGCTCCTCTGGCGGACTTACCCGGCATTACTGTCCCACCCTCCCTGCGTAACTTACATGTGAACAACTTGATCAAAGACGACAATACTTGGGACCTCGCGGAAGTGCAAAATTATCTCCCAGACTGCATGATCAACACCATTCGGGCTATTCCTATTGCTTTAACTGGGAACCCCCAAGATGCCTTATCATGGCCTTACTCCGGAACGGGGCTGTTTACTTTAAAATCAGGTTTTAATTTTATTGCAGGTAACGAGGAGCCTGAAGAGGACCTTAGTTGGGTTTGGCGCATCAAATGCACGGAGAAAGTTAAGCTCTTCATTTGGAAAATCACACAGAATGGACTACTCACGAATTCGGAGAGAAGTCGTCGCGGGTTGACAGCCGACGGTGGCTGCCAGCGTTGTGTTGGAATGGACGAGACCTTGGATCACATCTTCAGAAGATGCGATTTCGCGGTGACCTGTTGGGCAAACTGCCAAGCTCCAGCCTCCTTCAACGCTACAGCAGTCACGTCGTTATCCCTCTGGATAAAAAACAACTGTGGCATGGCGAATGACTCCACAATTCAGGGAAGTTGGCACATAATCTTCCCCTACATACTTTGGTCTATGTGGAAGGCCAGGAATGATCTCATTTTTAACAATAATATGATGCAGGTTACAGAGACGGTATTCCGTGCGAAAATGGAGGCAAATGAAGCCGAGCAGTTCCTAGTTAAACATAGAGAACTCATTCTTGGTCGACAACTTTGGATCAGCTGGGAACCCCCACCACACGGGTGGGTAAAACTGAACACGGATGGAGCTAGAAAGGCGACGACTGATCTGGCCTCGGCAGGTGGCCTGTTGCGAGACCATGAGGGTGCCTGGATGATCGGCTTCATAGCCAAAGTCGGCACCACCTCAAGCTTCATAGCAGAATTATGGGGTCTCCGTGAAGGCCTCAAAATGGCAACGAATCGGGATGTGCATCGGCTAATGGTGGAAGTCGACTCGGAAGCGGTTCTTCATGCGGTCTCGGGTGACAACGCCAGCCGTCCCGAAGCCAACACCATCATTGGCGATTGCAAAACCTTCATGAGTATGTTTGAGAGTTGTCGTATCACACACACGCTACGTGAAGGCAACCGGTGTGCGGATGCTCTGGCCAACTTGGGACAAGCTAGCAGCTGGGGGACAACCATCTTCAACCATCCGCCGGAGGAGATCCAATCCATCCTCGACAGTGACGCTCAGGGCGTTGCTATTAGAAAAATTTACTAATCCTTTCTGGGACTCTTGAGTCCCTCTATCTTACCAAAAAAAAAATAAACGTCAAACTTAAAAATTTATGACTACTAAACTAATAATTTAACCAACTTGGATCTATTACATATTTAAACCTTATCTAAATTATTTTCCAAATAGATACCTTACGCTACAAACGTTACGCTGAGCCTGTGTCGTGTTTCACGTGTATCAGCTAACTTCCATTCTGTTTTTCATTAAAAAAAAATTAAAAAAAGAAAGAAAATGAGATATTATTTTTAATTAATATTTATGTATTTACTTATTTATTTATTTCAACGATGAGTTAAGAAATAGATATATAAATTATGTAGTCGTCAAAGGAGATAGAGCTACGTTTTGTTAGTCAAATTTTGAACTAATCCTACAATTATAAAATATAAATAGTGCAAGTAAATTATGCTTTCATCACACAATTCCAAGTTCAATGCTCCTCAACAAAATTATATTATAATAACAGGCATCGAAACTTCGTTATCACCTAATAAATAAAATAATTAAATTATGCATTATTTATTTAAAGCATAATCTTTTGAATAATGGTTAAATACGTCCCTCCGCCCATTAACTCTTCAATTAACTTTTCAATCCAGAAGAAGACGACATAATTTGAAAAAAGACAATGCTACCATGACAACCAACAATTAAAAAATTAATATTAATATTAATATTATTTATTTATTTATTTATTTAAATACATTACACATCACCATTTAAAATATATGTGAATGTGAAGTTAGCTAATTTTAATCGATAAAAATGGCTTAATTACATTACTATAAGTTTAATATTGATTATGTGTATGAAATGAAATAATACCAAATTAGTTCTCTAGTACGTTTGTTTTTAAAATATGTCAAATACAATCCTCAATGAAGTAGTGAATGCACAATATTAAAATTAAGAGGATCGATCATGTTTCATCATCTTTCACCACAAACCAGCGCCGCATATTTTTATTTTTTGAGTACTTTAAACAAGTTGATATCTCAAAACTCTCAAAACAAGGTTGAAATGTGGAGTATAATTCTCGTACTAAAAAGTTACAAGTATAATTATTGTTAATATTCTTTCGGTTGAACTCATTGCACGCACCTCTCCTTTTTTGTGCCTAACACACACTTTTGAGTAGGGATGTCAATATACTGAGGCAGTAGCGCGGAATGGGGTCCCCATCCTTGCCCTCGAATTCATCCCCCGCTTCCCAACCCAGCAACCCTACGCTGTTTTGTGAAGGGGATTGTAAATATTTACCCCCGTTCCTGAACCCACGGAGATTTTTCGAGGACGAGGATTACCCATCTCGATTTTTTTAAATTTATACACTTCCTAATTTTCAGTACACTATAAAATAATATTTTATTTAAATTATAGAATTAATTTATAAATTTATATATTTAAATATACAATTAGCCTAGCTAACATCCAATCATCTAAACATACTTAGTACAAAATACTTAAAACATTAAACAATACTTAAAAGATTCAAATTGTTCAAATCTTAATTCCTTAACCAAAATATCAAATATCCATACATAATTTTTTTAAAAAAAAAAAATTTTAACACCAAAAGTCCAAATGATATATTAGTACATATAAATAATATATATATATATATATATATATATATATATATATTTATTTATTTATTTATTTATTTATTTATTACTGAGATTCGGGGTCAGGGTTGGGGTTTGGGGTTCGGGAGAACAATCTCCGCCCCTAATGGGCTTGGGAAAACTCTCTCCATCCATATCTCGTTCCTCGAAAAAAATACTCCGATCAGCCCCCACCTCCATCAGGGCGAGGATCGAGTTTCTCATCAGATTGGATTGAATTGACATCTCTACTTTTAAGTAGTGACTACATAATAATTAAACATCTTTTTATCAATACAAGTCTTTTCAGTATCCTATTCATTACTATAAACAAAAAAGTACTATTGGTACCTTGGACAGTATGGATTAGGGAAGGATGTCGTTCTAGGTGTTGACATGAGAGCAATTTCTTCCTTTGGCACTTAGTATATGGTAGTCATCATGCCATGTTAAGTGTGTATAGTTCATTATATTGTCTATTTTCATCCATCACTAACATTCATCTACTCTCTAGTTAGTGACACCTTGTACAGTAGCCACCATGTCCTTTTATGTGTTGACAATGAAAATTTAATCACCAAATTAAAGACAATGAATTATCAATAGTCCCGATAACATTAGAGGTGTTGTGTTAGATATGACAACTTCTGATTGATTTCAAGTTTTAACAATGGAATTTTAGAAGACATTAATTATGTTGCTTACTCCAATTTCTAATAGTTAGAAGAAATTATTTTACCTTTAAATTGAACATTCTTTTATGCATACTTAGCTTGGGCTATACATTTATTATTATACTTAACACATCCCTTCACATGTGCAGGTTATTACTTTTGGTGAGTCCGCATGCCTGGATTATAAGTGACTTAGAGATTTGAACTCATGACCTTTATGTGAGAGAGCATGTTGAATATAATATTTGATGTATAGTACGTACAATTTAATTATTGATTTTGATTTTTAATTAAAGTGAAACACATCTTTTAATTTAGTATCAAAGTTACACATCACTTAGTTATTGAGTTAATACCCAAAATCGTCCTCGACTATAGTGGTTTTTCTCAATTTCGTCCTAAACGACTTTGGTGACCTAATATCGTCCCAGACTTTTGTGTTTCGCTCAATTTAGTCCTAGATTTGTGTTTTTGCTCAATTTAGTCCCTCATTTGTTATTCTGTCCATTTGGTGTTAAATAAGTAGACAATTCAGTAATTTTAATATTGGCATCTCTTTACTCATAGACATGTGAACTGCGAAATCCCCTTTTTTTTTTTTACGAATTACTCCTAAAATTGCGAATATAAAATTTGATTTGCAGGTCCGGGAGTAATTCTG